AGAGAGAGAGAGAGAGAGAGAGAGAGAGAGAGAGAGAGAGAGAGAGAGAATATAATACATAATATATCTTTAACATTATTCGTGAACATTTAATAAATAGAACGTTAATAGAGATATGATAAAAATAATATACGACAATTATATACATTATATATAAAAATATTGCTTTAAATCATTCTTGAAAAACGTTAATATAATATTATTTCGTAATTATGCAGGAAAATATATAATACCAGCCGGTTGTGGCGTATTTATATCGCCATACTGCACGCATCGTTTATCTCATCATTTTCCTGATCCTCACGATTTCAAACCGGAACGTTTTAACTCTGAAAACTCTGAGGGAAGGCATCCATATGCCTATATACCATTTAGCGCAGGACCTCGTAATTGTATCGGTAAGAAAAGCAAATATAAATTAATTATAAAATACATATGTGTAAGAGAAATATTATATAAAAGATTAAAGATTCTGTTTTATAAAGAAAACTAATAAAGTTTATGTTTTAAAAGGTTTTTTTAATATATTGTTAGATATAGATTAATTTTTTTCAAAGAAAGATATATACTTATCATGCCTTTATATATATTTTTTTAGGATACAAATTTGCCATACTTGAAATAAAATCAATCATCAGTGCTATTTTGAGAAAATGCCGATTAGAGCCGACCCTTGGCAAGGAGAAAGTGATAGCCAAATTTCGAGTAACGGTCAGAGCACAGGGTGGACTTTGGGTCAAAGTAAGAGCGCGCGATGAACAATACGAATCGGGACAATTGGATTAATGATTCCATTTCCAACTTTGCAAACTATAAACTATTATAAAGTAATTAACGGTGGTATCTTGAAGATAATTTAATGGAAAAACGAAAAGCTATAACTATGTCATTTCAATAACATTAAAGAAAAATGACATTTAGTCAAAATATTTAGCGTTTTTAGAAAGCAATACTTTATCAGTGCAATTTAAATTATTTTTAAGATAAAACAATTTTTTCGTATATTATTTAAACAAAATAGCTGACACAAAATTTGAAAAATGCCCAAAATTTTTCAAGAAATTGTAGAAATATGTCATTGTTGTTATATTGTATACAAATTTTTTTTGTCAGTAGAACCAAAAAATGAAACAACTTACGCTTTGCGAACGCTATTATTTTATAATGGTCAGTAAAATCATCGATTTTCGAGTATTATACTTACAAGAATATTTATCGTTAAGTTAATCTTTTGTAAGTATCAAAACAGGGAAGAAAAAAATTGATAAGATAAGAGTTAATGCGAATATTAATGCGTCATGTTAACAAGGTATTTAATTTATTATTCGTAGTAAATTACATAAGTAAATCAAAAACATTTTTGTAATTTGGATTCTGTTTAATTCAGAGCATATTAGATATAATTAAATAGCTATTTTAAATAGTTTAAATAATAAGAAAAAAAGCATTGGTTAAGGCATAAAAATCTAATCTATAATAAAAAACATAAAAAATATGAAAACGCAGAAATTTTATATTAGCATCATTTTATATTAGATTTTGTTATCTACTTAACCCATGTTTTCTTTTTATTTAAAATCGCAATAAAATTTTGCGAAAATAATCATAATTATTTAAAATACTTTGTATAAAGGAATTGAAATTTTTGTCATAATTTTCTATATAAGTTAAAGTATTGCAACAATAAATATAATAGCAAGTACAGAAAATAAACTAAAAGGTATGTTGTTAAATAAATATATAATGTTATCCATATAATATATTGTTATGTATATAATTTTCGTACCTACAATATTTTTATATGAAAAGTATAAGTATCAATACATTTCTAATTCTAAACTTTTTGCAGGAATTGTATGTAAATAATGTATCTTAACGGCAGAACCACAGGATCTACATAACGCATAATGCATAAGAAAATAAGCCAATTAAAATTCTTCATCTTGTTCCTTTCTATGAAATGAAAGACTCTGATGGGGGGAGGGAGGGGTTCATTTTCTTATGCATTATGCAAAGATCTGCTCGAAGGTCTGGCTTTAAATCGCTGGTGTGATTACGGCTTAAGTTGATATTTTATTTTATTTTCGAGCGTGTTGATTGGCTACAGCGCGGATAGATCCGAGAATGTCTATCCAATCAACAGGCTTGAAAAGGTTTTGTCGACACATGTAATATCAGCCTTAAGGCACTATATATGCGCGCGCGCTTTGGCGCGACTTGCGTTGCTTTTACGATAAAAATTCAACGTAATGCTCTGAAAGACAACGCGATCCAGTGCGACTGACGTTTCACCGGGAGAAAAGCTTGGAAAGCGACTACAAATCGTGCGGATTTTTGCCGCTATTATTTACTATCTCGATCATCTCAATCATTTTTTTTCAATATTCGGTCGATTTCCCATTCGATATTATTCGCAATTCGAAAGCGTGTTTGCTGAATATTCGAACAAATATACGTAAGAGCATTGGATCGCCGGTCGCTCTCTCGCGAAGGAGGGATGTGGAGGTCGCATCCTCGTGCTCCGTACACGCGAACAGCGGTGATGGCTATCAGTTGGCCGTGAGCCGTCAAGTGAGCCGGAGTTTGTGGCTGGTGTAGCTTTGCATCACCGCGGGAAGCGATCGATTCGCTGTGGAGCTGCGCTCTCTCGCTCGTCGCTCTCCTCCGTTCGGAGCATTTCGTCTTCGTGTATGATGTAGACAGCGAGAGTAGGTGATCGATCTTCGGCCTCTCTCGTCGTGTCGAGAGACGCTAAAGTAATCTCGGGACGAGATAATTAAATTAAATTTGAAACGTAAAACGATTGGGAGATACAGGAAGACGGTGACAGTCGTTTGGCACCCACGTGATTAATCGGAGGTGCCGCGCAAAGGTGTCGATTCGATACTTAAAGGCTCGTGTGAGATTCCTGCATCAGTGACAGGAGCTCGCCGTATAGAAGTGTGACAGAGAGATTGGGAGGGGGGGGGAAGAAGAGGGAGAGGGAGAGAGGGCGGAAAGGAGGGCGGGGGAGGAGAGCGAGAGGGGGAGGAAACCGATCAATGTTCACGTGACAATCAACAACGCGAAGTGAAGTTGCCGCGAAAGGGTGCGCGAACAACGGCCATATTCAAGGCGAGCCCGTTGTCGTTCCCGGTAAACCGCAGGGTCGCGAAAATAAAACAGTCTTGCGATTATTCATCGGGATAGAAACGTTAAACGTGGTAAAAGAGAACAAGGTACGAAAAGGACGGGAACGAGGAAGTGCAATTAAAGTTCTCTATAAGACAACGGTGTGACAGCGATCCTTCCATCATCTTATCGAGATGGAGTTCAAGTTCAACGTAAATAAACTCTTGCCTAGGAAGATCAACAAGGTCACGCACAATCTGGTGCCGGAAGACTTCAAAGGTGATCGACGCGAATTAAAGTGAGTATATACTCTTCTTTCTGAGATTCTAAAATAGTTTAGCTCTCCCGAATTATCAATCATGCTACGCAATGTCCATTTATACATCGAAACTCTCGCGCCCGTTTTTGTGATTTCGCAAGTGCTTTCTGTATTTATTAAATTGTGACGTAAATATACAAAGTTATATTTTCATTTATGTATGTATATATTACTCCAATGTGTATAGTGCTCCAAAAATGACGTAATTAAAAAAGTTGTTTTTCCAGAAAATGAGAAAATGATTATCTCTCGAATAATCGTTTTCTCGTAGAACGGAGAATCATTGACTAATAAAACAAAAAATATTCTTAATAATCAAATGTCATATTTGTTATTTTAGTATATAATCTTTAAAAATCATCCTCTTTAAAATGAGTTTAACCACTTTCTTTAAAAATCATTTTTTTAATTGCGCTAATTTTGACGTCTTTAATGATTGATAAAATAATTTACTTGACTCATTCATGGTAATAACTCGTAAATTATGTTACGTTTGAGTTACGTCACTTTTAAAGTAAAAAGGGAGCGATTGTATGTATATGTGGTGTACACGTGCGTGCGCACGCTCATGCTCATATATGCACGTACGCGTGCATAATTACAAATCTTACTACGTAATCAATTCTAGATCTATTTATTTTGAACGAATATTCAATATGCATAGCAGCTTCAGGAAGCTTATTTTATCTCATACTCGATCTTCTTTCTTATCAAAAAGAATACAATATATTAAACAATTAATAAATATAATTAATAAAATGAAAAATATAATTAATAAATATGATTTTTTTAATAATTAATATAATTTAGACGTAATCACTTTAAACTACAATATATTCTATCGATTCGTTTTTCTATAATGTTTGATTATATCTTCTGATAAATGAGACACCAAGGAATAACGAGAAATATACCCATTATCTAATTGCTGAAGGAATGTTACTGACGTGTTCAAATCTGCTCTTGCATTAGCTGATTGAGTTAATGCAGAATACTTAGAAGCTGCAGAGAGTAGCGTAATTTTATGTATCCTGATAATTAAGATTTAGGTTACGATATGTTATGTAAGCCATTTTACACGATAAAATCCAGCAAGATAAGATTCGCCGCACTTCATTTAATTGTTCAATACTCGTTACAGTAGACGGTGGAATACTCTTTTCTCTCTCCTTGAGATAGCTTTCTGTCACAAGAAAGTTGGCGAATTGCGAAATAAATAAGTTTTTTTTCCAACAATAAAGTCGGACGGACGGGCTTGTATATACCGTAGATTCTCGGTTCAAGGAACTCGGTTCACTTGCAATAACTTCTATCGAATTCTTGGGCAGTGACTCGCGACGCTCGCGGAAGTCTATGACGAAATAGTAGAGAGAAGTGGTTTCTCACCGTGAAAGATTTGTCCTTCGTTATTTGTAATCTGTAGGTTACACAGAAAAGCTTATATAGATTATTTGTCCTCCGGTTACCTGTCCTCCTTGACAGGAGCAGTTGATGCAACGATGACTCGCGTTGCAAAATTATTGATAGTTATTCTGACACATTAATCCATCATATGGCGTAGATCATTCTAGCAATGTTGCAGTAATACCGCAACATACGTTCTAGCAATATTGCAGTAACATTGCAAACGTTGCAGCAACGTTGTTGCAAATTTCTGTGCTGGGAAACGCGAAAATTCATTTCTTCATATTTCCTTTCTATTTATAATGTTTGCACTGAAAATAATCTTGAGGTTGTATAATTTCGTCAATTACATAAGTTTAATACAAACGTAAATACGTGGTGCACTTTAATAAAAATATGTATATAAAATAAATACTTTTGTGAAAAAAAATATACTTTTCTTAAGTAATTAAAATTATACAATATAATATTTTTTTCGAGTGATTTAAGATACAAGAAGTAAGTGTCTACGATTATTCTACAAAATTTGTTAAAAGAAGAAATGTACCATAAAATTAAATAATCTATTATCAAAGTTAGGCAAGCGCCTTATGTAAGATACTTCCGTGAAGTTTCATGTCTTCAAGAGTAGATTTCGCAATGCAACTTTCCGCATTTGGTGATTACTCACGTTTTTTCGTCATACAATCCATCATACTTCACATCAATAGCATAATGACCGTAGGAGAAGATATATCTAATATCGATAGAATAAATTAACCTGATCTTTATCGCAAAAATGGATTGGCGCGCGTCCAAAACATGAATCAGGTCATCGCTGTAACTGAATAATGTGTTACACGAGGAATCTTTCTTAGAACGCCGAACGATGCAAATAGTTGCACCTATATAATTTTCTAACGTGTAATTTTGTGTAACCTAATAATATGAAATTGCATATCGTGCTATGATATTTACTGGTTATTACACAATGTATAAAAAGCTGTTTAGAAATCAATATCTTTCTATTTTTATAAATAATTTATATTATTATTTAAGTAATTTTTTTATCAGCTTTAAACATTATTTGTATTAACCGTTGAAAATTATTATCAATATGTATAAAAGTAAAGTTTTTCTACATT